ATCGTGGTGCCCGCAGTGTCCTCCTGGCTTCTGAAGAGCCTTCCAGCCCCTGGACCATGGGGTGGAACTCGGCTGTGCGATCGGCCCGAGGCAGCCCCACTCACCCCAGCCCCAGACAGCAGCGGGGGGTGGGCTCAAACTGCAGGGGCCGAGACCCCACGGGCAGGGCTGGGCGGTCCAGTGTGGGTGGGCGCTGAGCCAGCCCACCACCCCGACCCTGTCCCCACCCTGTGCGTGTGTGCTCCAGTGTGTGCGTGCTAATGCCTCTGCGTGTCCCGGTGCGTGCCTGCCAGTGCGTGTGTGCTCCAGTGCTCACGTGTGCCTGCACACACACCCCCACAGGCAGGAACGTGCTGCGTGCCCCTGCCCTCCAGCCATCTGGTGTCCCCTAGTCAGCTCCCCCAGGCCCAGCCTACTGCCGGGAAGGCAGTCCTATGCGTCAGGATGGAGATGGGAGGCCGGCTTGGGGTCTGTGCTGGGCAGGCCCTGAGATGGGGCGAAGGGGGGAGCCAGGCTGTGAGCAGGGATTCCAGATTGGGGTCCTTGGCTAGGGGACCCCAAACATGGTCTTGATATCGTGTATGCATCTTTTTGAGCCTCCCCAAGACAGCCCTGGCCCCAGACTGTTAAGAGCCCTTAGGGGAGGGGTCGGGGAGCTGGAGGCTGAGCCCGCTGGGACGGATGCTGTCCACGGCGGCACCTGGTGGTCAGGTATGGTACTGCACCGCGGCATCCTGGGCAGCCCTGATACTGAGCGGGAGCCTGGAGCCGGCTTTACCTGCCTGAGGCCCGCTGGGAAGGAGGCCAGGCCAGGCCTCGCTGCCCCCTGCCCTGGAGTGGACCTATCTTGGCCTTCAGGAAGCCCTCCCCATCCAGCCCGAGTGCCCTCCCCTGGCCCCCCTGCTGCTGGGGCAGGGCTGGAAGCTTCCATCTGGGGAGGGGGGCGCCCCACCATTTGCATAGGAGTGAGGCGAGGAGGGGCTGTGTTGGGGGCAGTAGGGGTCCCTGCAGGTGCTGCCCCGTAACTGTTGCCCACCCGAGGGCCTGAGTTGCTGTCTGTCTGCCTTCAGGTGGGCCCTCCCAGCTCCCGGAGAGCCTGTCCCCAGACCTGGGCCCAGGTAAGGGGGCTGGGGGCATCCCCGTGTCACCAGAGAGTGGCATTTGGTGGCATCACTGGCCGTTACCAGCAGACTAAGGCCTCAGGAGGGATGAGGACTGACTGGGCAGCTGTGGCGTCTGGGCCCCATAGGGTGGTGGGCATTGCAGAATCTGGACCTCAGAGACGAGGCCGGGAGGAGGCTGGGGAGGATGGGGTGGGCTGTCTCCTCTCCGTTGGGCTGGAGCTGGAAGGAAGGAGGGGAGGCGTCAAGTGTGAGCCCAGAACTACGAGGACTTGGAGAGTTTCCACCTGCCCGGGGGCTGACCGTCCTTTCTCCTGTCCCTGCAGCGGCCTCTCAGCCAGCGTCTCCCAGACCAGCGCCCAGGCTCGGCAGCAGCGCAGAGGCGCACTAGCTCAGAGGCAGCCCCCGCTGAGGCTCGCAGACCAGCGCCCAGGCTCGGCAGCAGCGCAGAGGCGCACTAGCTCAGAGGCAGCCCCCGCTGAGGCTCGCCTCCCAGGAGCCGCAGAGGGGGCCCCGGGGCTTAGGTGGCGCCTGCCGAGGGGTGCGGTGGGCCAGGACTGTGGCCCCGACCTGTCTCTGAAGCCTGTGGACAGGCGTGCCGCCTCGGGCTCCTCAAGGGTGGTCTTGCCACGAGGAGGCAGGCCCCACCTCGCCGGGATCTGCCCGCCCAGGGCGCGGACCGCGGGGCTGAGGAAGCCCCGCCCCTCCCGCTGCCCGGGGCAGGGCCAAGGGCAGGTGTTCGGGCAGGTGCGGGCATGAGGCCCCTGCCCCCCCAGCAGGTTCTTCGGGTGCTAGGCCCCGGGGCAGCTACCGCCCAGCCCGCTCACCAGGAAGCACAGCCGGGCCGTGTTCGTGTGACTTATGGGCAGCCCGACCGCAGGGCTGCCCGTCTCCTGCCCCAGGACGCCCTGACTCGGGGCAGCGGGCTTCGGTACCATGTGAAACCAGTAGGTTAAGAAAGGAGCAGCTGCTTCCCCAAGGCTGTGCGTCTGCTGCTTTGTGCGGGCTCTGCGCGGGGGCCTCCCTGGCACGCCGGCACGAGGCGCTGGGACAGGAGCCTCTGCCGACCGCTTGCCCTGCCCCTCCCTGGGGACCGCGGTGCCGCACAAACGAAGTTGGGGTTTATCCTGGTTCCAGTGCTCTAGAGGGGCGTGGCGCCCCGAGACCCAGGAGTGCTGGCTCCCAGGGCCTGCGTGTGGGAAGCACGGCCCCAAGGGCAGGGGTGCTGCTGGGGGCAGCCTGGAGACCCCCAGCCCCCACTCCTGCCCTGTCTTCAGGGCAGAGCTGAGGAGAGGGTTGGACGCCGATTGTCTCACCGGCCATTTAGGGTCCGGGCTGTAGCCCCCCCTCCCCTCCTCTCCAACAGTGCCCAGGCAGCTTAAATCCCCCAGGGGCAAAGGACCTCGTGGGGCAAAACAGGGCGCATTCAAGTAGGCCCCGCCCCCTGACGCAGACAACTCGTGAACACCCGGTAGCAGAGGGCGTCGAATCGCTGGGCCACCATGTGAAGACTTTGAAGTATGTAGCTGTGATCAGTGTCCTGGAAGGAGGAAGGGATGCGGGTGGTAACCTGGTGCAGGAAGAGGCGGTTCAAGAGGGACCATCGTGAGGAATGAGGGTGGAGGGCGTGGGAGCTGGAGTTGGCGGAGGCGGCAGGAATCCGGCCGAATAAGGGGTTTCCCAGCTCAGGACACTCCCGGGAGGCGGCAGGGAGGCTGAGAGAGAGGAAACACGAAGGGAAGGGGCAGTAGGAATGGACGAGGCAAGTGTGACACCCATGTGTCTGAAGTCCCAGAAAAAGAAGGTGAAAACCATTGACGTGAAGCAATGAGTTCTCAGGTCCAAAGTTGGAAGATCTCAGATCGAAAAGCACTCCAAGTGCAAAGAAAATTAAGCAAAATTTAAAAAGCCACAGCCAGAAGAATTTAAAGAATATCAGTGCCAAAGAGGAGTTTTAAAATAACTAGAGAGAGAGAGAGCAGGAATCAGCACGACGTCAGGGTCTGCAACAGGAGCACTGAGAGCGGCCGGACGGCGACGCTCTGTTTGCCAGGTGTTGAGGAAACAGTGTGGAAACTTGAATTTCATGACCTTGAATTGTGTGTCCCGCTAAACTGTCACTGGGAAGCGAAGTCGGCGTCCTTCTCAGCTGTCCGAGGCCCCAGGCGGCCCCAGACGAGAACCAGGCTTGAAAACACGCTCAGAGGAAGTTTCCCGGCAAGAAGAGAAAGCATGAGATGGTCCCTGTGTTTCCCACACGGCCTCGGAATGAAGAGAATCAAAATAGCCACGCTCACCAACAGCAGGAGCGGCCAGCAGGCCTGCCTGCCCCGCAGCTGAGCCTGGTGCAGACAGAGGGCGATAAGATGGCGTGACCTCCGCAGAAGCACCGGTAGGATGTCTGACTTTTAAACGGAGGAAATTTCATCTCTCCGACGTTCAGCAGGGAAGGAGAAGAAACAAAGCAGAATAAGAAAGTAGATTGAAGCCTAACGTAAGCAGTTACAGGGGCTCAAGAGCCAGATGGCCACGCATCACACGTTCTTCAACAGCACTTTGTGTCTGAAAGACGT